TGGGCTTTATTTGGTGGCCCCCACCAGGGCAGCAGGACAGGGGGGAGGGCAGCTCTCCTTCCCTGACCCGCTGCCAGGCCTGGAGCCTGTCTCTAGCCAGCATCCACACAGGGAACACGCTGCCTGGGTTTCAGCTCTACAGTAGTTTTTAAAAAATATTTATACGTTATATACCCTAAAAAGGTCACCACAGGAGTTTCCATGTCTTTGGAAGGAAGGAGGAAAAAAAAAAAAAAAATTTTTATATATATATATATATATATATATATATATATATAAAAATCAAAACTGTTTCACAAAAGAAAAATAAAAATCCAATTATTGGCGGCGTTCACCTACAGGACAAAAATCCCTGGGTGCAGGTGTGGATGTGAGGGGAGGGGAATCTCAGCACCTGCTCCAGAAAGGTCAAAAACACAGGTGAGTAGCTAAAAATAACTAGTCTGGTATAAATGTCTGAATTCCATGCGCTCGATAGAACAGTCTGTTTCTTTTTGTCTTTTTTTTTCTTAAAAAATATATATATATATATATATAGTTATTGCTTTCTGGAGGGCCGGCGGGCGGGGACCCTCAGTGGGGCAGCGCGGCGGGCTCGGGGGCGTTGGCTTTCTTCCTCCTCTTCATCAGCAGAGGGTTCGAGGAATCCTCGATTTTCTTGATCTTGATTTGTTCATAGTCCACTCGCATGGTGGCCAGGGCACTGGTCATCTCCTCCTGTGGGCAGGGGGCACAGAGCCATCAGCAAAGCCCCCCCCAGGCTCCCCAAAGCAGCTGGGGATTAATTGCAGCAGGGCCTGAGTGTCCCGCTGCCAAATTTTTTGGCTCCATCCCAAGCACAGATCTGTCCCCCAGAGCGAATTGGAATAGTGGAATTGTTCAGGTTGGAAAAGGCCTCCAAGACGATTGATCCAACCTGTGAGGGTGGGGAGATCCCATCCCTGGGATGGAATTCCCAGAGAAGCTGTGGCTGCCCCATCCCTGGCAGTGTCCAAGGCCAGGCTGGCTTTGGTTTGGCTCAGTTTTCCTGGGATAGTGGAAGGTGTCCCTGCCCTGGCATTTGAGGTCCCTTCCAACCCAATCCATTCTGTGATTCCGTGGTAAAGCCAACACAGCCACTCAATCACACCCCAGGTGCCACATCAATGCAGTTTTTGAGCACTTCCAGGGACAGTGGACGAGCCTGGTGTGCAGTACCACAGGAGAGGCCATTCCCCAGCTGACAGAGCATTGCAGGCAGGGACAGAGAGAGGTTTTACCTTCACATCCTCCCACAGGTCCTTCTCCTCCTTCAGCACACGGCTGGTGTGCAGCGGGGTCTGGGGCACCTGCATGGATTGCTGCCAGGAGAGGGGAGGAGCGTGAGCTGGGAGCCACAGGCATCCATCCTGTCCCATCCCATCCATCCATCCCATGGATCCCATCCCATCCTATCCCATCCATCCCATCCCATCCCATCCCATCCCATCCCATCCCATCCCATGGATCCCATCCCATGGATCCCATCCCATGGATCCCATCCCATCCCATCCCATCCCATCCCATCCCATGGATCCCATCCCATCCCATGGATCCCATCCCATGGATCCCCACCCTCACCATGATCCAGGGGTGGTTCATGAACTCCGTTATTGTCATGCGCTGGGTCGGGTCTGTTTTCAGCAGGTTGCGGATCAGCTGCTTCACTGCGAGCGTTGGGGCAGGGTCAGGGGCCAGCAACTCCCGGGGGGCTCTGCTGAGCTCCAGCCCAGCCCCAGAACCCCTGCACCCCCTCCTGCCACAGCCAGCCCTCAAAGGGAGACCTCAGCCTGGGGACAGGCACCACATTTACCTTCCTCGGACACCTCGGACCATTCAGGGTTGGGAAACTCGTACTGGCCCATTCGGATTCGCTTCTTCATGCCAGGAGAGATGGCCAGGCCGTGGTTGGAGTAGAAAGGGGGGTACCCGCAGAGCCTGCAGCAGGAGAGGGAACACAGCCAATGGGCCACCCCAAAAGCCTCCCCAGGAGCACCCACAGGGCACAGGACAGTGCCAGGAGCAGGAGCTGAGCCCAGCAGGAGGGAGAGGAACCCTCAGACTTACAGAATATACATGATGACACCGAGGGACCACATGTCACAGGACTTGTCATACTTCTCTGGGCCCAGCACTTCTGGGGCTGGTTAAGACAGAAAGAAAATTCTAAATCCAAGCATCAGCACCGGGTGAGAGGGCTCTGCCACCCCATGGAGACACCAAGAGCCACCTGCAGCTCCAGGCACTCTGGGAAGCGCTGCCTGGAGCAGGCTCCCTGCTGCACCTCAGCCTCCAGAGGTGCTGGGCTGCACATGGCATCCTCCAAACCCCCCCAGCTCTGCCCCCCAGCCCTCG